CAAGGACGACGACGACGACGACGACGACGACGACGACGATAGACGACGACGACAACGACAACGATGACGACGGACGACGGGCGACGGGGGACCGTCGACTTACGACCGACGACCGACGACGACCGACCCGACGACCAACGACCGACGACCGACGACCTACGACGACAATGACGACCGACGACGACGACGACAGACGACGACGACGACGACGACAATCACGACGACGACAACCACGACCACGACCACGACGACGACGACGACGACGACGACGACGACGACGACGACGACGACTACAGCGACGACGACGGCGACAGCGACGGCGACGGCGACGGCGACAGTAAGGGCGAGGGCGAGGGCGGCGGCGGCAGCGGCGGCGAGGGCGGCAACCACGGCGAAGAACACAACAGCCCTCAGGTCTGTCCAGCGGTGCGCTCTGGTCAGAATCTCGAAGGGTAAGCAACCATTGCGGCGAAAGTGCCCCAGGACGATTGACGACGCCGCCACCGCAGCCGACGACGACGACGACGACGACGACGACGACGACGACGACGACGGCGACGAGGAAGCAAGAACGGCGGCGGCGGCGAAGAAGGCGAAGAAGGCGAATGCGAGTGCGAATGCGAAGGCAGAGGCGAAGGTAGGCGGCGGCGGCGGCAGCTGCGGCGGCGACGGCGCCAGCGACGTCGACGACGTCGACAACGGCGGCGACAAGGCAACAAGGCGACGACGGCGGTGAAAAGGCGACGAGGCGCCTGAGGAGCGACGTCCGCAGGGCCCAAGCCCCCCACCGCGTGCGGGCGCACTGGGGCCTCCGCCGGGCCGAGGCCCTCCGGCGCCGCCTGCGCGGGGCCGCGGCCGCCGCCGCCGCCGCCGAGGCCCGTGGCCACCCCTTCGACCGCGGACCGTGCCGCCGGCGGACCGCTTCGCCGTCGAGCCGATTCGCTGGCCGCTCCGGTCGTCCTCGTCCTCGTCCTCGTGCCCGCTGGCCTCGTCATGGTCCTCGTGCTCGTCCTCGTCCTCGTCGTCGTCGGCGTCCGCGTCGTGCTCGTGCTCGTCCTCGTGCTCGTCCTCGTTCTCGTACTCGTTCGTGGTCCTCGTCGTCGTCTGTGTCCGCGTCGAGGAAGCGAGTCGCAACGGGCGTGGCAGGCTCGAGGGGCAGGTCGGTCGTGCGGGCACAAACCGGCGGGTCGGGCGGGCGACAAGCAGGGTCGAGCGGGCAAGACATTGAAACGGGCGGGCTGGCTTTCAAGCACGCAAGCGTGCGGACCCTGACGGGCGGGTCGAGCAGGCCGACCCAAGGGACAGCGGCGAGGAGTGACGAAGTAGACGGCAACGATAATGACGATGACAACGCCTACAAGTAGACGCTACGAGACGACGAGAAAGACGACCACGAAGACGACGACGACGACGACGACGTCGACGACGACGACGACGGCATCGGCGACGGCGACGGCGACGGCGACGGCGACGGCGACGGCGACGGCGACGGCGACGACGGCGGCGGCGGCGACAGCGACGACGACGATGACGCCGACGACAAATGACGATGACGACGACGACGACGACAGATGACGACAGATGACGACAGCGACGGCGACGACGACGGCGGCGGTGGCGGCGACAGCGACGACGACGACGACGAGTAACGATGACGACGACGACGACGACGACGACGACGACGACAGCGGCGACGACGACGACGACGAGTAACGACGACGACGACGACGACCACGACGACGAAGACGACAACCACGACGACGACGACAAACACGACGACGACGACAACCACGGGCATGACGACGACGACGACGACGACATGAGGACGATTGACAACGACAGCGACTGCGATGGGTGGGTGAGGCGGGAGCCGTGATGGTCCGCACAAGCCGACGCACGCCGCCGTTCTGCCCGCCGCTGCCGCCGCCGCGTCTGCGAGCGGCGCGGCGCCCCGCGCAGGGCGCCAGGTCTGCAGGAAGACTGCCGCGCGCGTGCGCGTGCGACGCGGAGCACGCGCAAGAATGCGGTCGCGTGCACAGATGCTTCCGCGTGCGCCCGCGCCCGCGCGTGCACGCATGCCACTGTAGCACATGGTTCCGCGCGCGCAGGCGCGCGCGCGTGCGCGCCCACGCGTGTGCTCGCGCGTGCATGCTTCCGCGCGCGAGCCCTGCCCTTCAGCGACCGCATACGCCGGCGCGTCCATGCCGGGCCGCTGCGGCCTCCTTCTCGGGAACCGTATCCCACTCCAGGTCGTCCTCCATGTCGCCCGCCTCGGCGAGAGCCCACAGTCACTCAAGAGGGTGTCTGCATGGCGAGGCGCGTGTACATCTCTACGTGGCTGACACTCTTGTGAGGGCCGGGAAGGGGATGACAGCGGCAACAACTGCAGCAGCAGCAACCTCAGCGACAGCAGCGCTCGTGACAGCCACGGCAGCAGCCATGGCGATGTCCACAGCTAGAGAGCCGACGGCAACGGCGAAGGCAAAGTCGGGGGAAACATTTCGACGAGGAGATCCAGGCCTACCAGGAACCTGGGGATAACGTGACGCACCCCCCTAACACGCCAGGGGTGCGTTACCCCACCCCTCCCACTGCGTCGCAGCCCTGGGCACCCTTTGGGTGCGCTATCCGCCCTTGTGCGGACACGAAGCGGAGGGTAGGGGGGGGTGCACACAGTGCATGTGTACACAGCTATGCCTGTGTCCGCCACCACAGCTGCTGCTGCAACAGCATCTGTGTGCAACACAGCGCCTGCTTACACCACTGTGCCGTTGTACAACACAGCAGCCGTGTGCACCGCAACGCATGTCCACACCAGAGTGCCAGTGTACACCACAACGCCTGTGAGCACCACAGCTGGTGCTTCGGCACCATCTCTGTGCACCTCAGCGCCTGCGCAGCACATTGTGTACACCGTAAAGCTTGTGTGCACCTCCAGGCTCCCGACGGGACCCAAATCCAGAAAATCGCGGGCAGGGCCAACGAAGTATCAAATTCAATGTATGGGGTAGTTTTAATTCTTGATTTGCCTGGATCGGGTACGGTCCCTTGTGTACACCAAAATGCCCATGTGCACCTCAATGCCTGTTTACAATGCAATGTTTCTGTGCACCACAGGTGCTTCAGCAGCATCAGTGTATACCACAGCGCCTGTGTATGCCACAGCCCCGTTTTACACCCCAGAGCATGTGTGCACAACGATACCCGTATAAACCACTATGCTTGTGTACATCACCATGCCTGTGTAAAAACCACAAATTCTGTAGCAGCAGCAGCAGCAGCAGCAGCAGCAGCAGCTGTGTGCGCCAGCGCTTGTGTACAACACTTTGCATGTATACACGTACGTGTGGTGTGAGCCGCAAGCAGTGTGGTGTATTTTCGCATTGATGGCTCAACATTCGGAGGGACCGCACCTGGTCCGAAAAAACAAGAACCGCAATAAATTCCATATTGAACATGATACTTTTGCCCACCGCAACCCACCCTGTCCAGATTTTGGCCCCATCGGCACCTCGGGGGCGACCACACGACGGCGACGATGACGACGACGACAACCTGCTTGCGATCACAACGAACGAACTTGCGAGCACCCCAGGGCGCCTATGAACAAGGGCAGCGACACAGCGCCAAGCGGCACCGCGGGCACAAAATTGCCAGGAGGCTGTCAGGTTCAAGCCAAGAGGGAAAGCGAGAGACACCCCGCACTGAGACGAGCGTGCACGTCTGGGCGGATCACACCTTCGCGTCCACGACCCGCCTCTGTGACAAAATGAGCTAGTTGCGTCTGCATGCGTCAGGCCCGACGTCATCGACATCTTGATGGCCACCGTCGTCGGCATCCACGTCGAAGGGCCAGGGAACCTGGCCATCACGTCGTCGACGTCGTCGTGGTTGTCGCCGTCGACCACAACATCCCCACACCCCCGACGTCGTGATTTTGTAACATCGCGGACCCCCAGACCTCTCTACACCTCCCCCAGGGCCAGCGTTTCATCCCGAGCCGCTTTTCGAAGGTCCCAGGGCCCAGCGAGGGCCCCAAGAGCCCAGACATGGCCAAAAACCTTTCGTTGGCTTTTCTTCCACGACGCTGCGACTTCTGTCATGGACTCAACAGATGGCTGCGGAAATGGGTAAGCGCTGCTGCAAACCCTCCTCTCCCGCCGGTGCTGATCTGTGTATGCACCGATCTTGCCGGACACCGAATTAGGACCGATCTTCACATGATGCTCGAGGCAACGACGATGGGAACACACGTGTGCACCTCTGGAGTTCCTAAACGACGCTGCTGCAACAAGCTGGGGGCCTGGCTCCAGGGGTCGAAGGTCGGGTCCAAGGACCTATCCAAGGGGATGGCCTTGAACAGAAGTCTCACACGGGTCGGGCGCCAAGGCGGCGGGGAGCCGTCACCGGGAGGCCTGGCGAAAGCAAGAGGCATCGAAGACCTCGGACCCTGAAGGCCCCCGAAACTCGGAAGCCGACGACTACCACGACGTCGTCGTCGCCGTCGCCGTCGCCGTCGAAGCCCAAGTTGCGAGGCGGGGATGTGTCGGCATCGATCTGCGGGGACCTCGGCACCCCCCCAAAGGCCAGAACAGGATCCCTGCCCACGGCCTGCTGAGCCGGAGATCGATCCCCCAGGCAGGCCAGGTCAGGTCACGCCGAGGCGGCAGCCCATGGGCGCGTGCATAGTGTCAGGTCGGGCATGTCCTCCTACAGCCGGGATTTGGGTGAACATAAGAACGACCAAAAAAATACAACAATTATGCTAACGGGGTTCCCCACATAAAGATGTTACGGGGTTCCATTGCTTCTTGTCTGCGCTCTGGTGGGGCCTCCCTGGAGGGGTGGGAGGGGCACGAAACCTGATGAATAATATGGTGTGCGAATACCCTGCCCGCTCTGGTGGGGCCTCCCTGGAGGGGTGGGAGGGGCACGAAACCTGATAAATAATATGGTGTACGGATACCCTGCCCGCTCTGGTGGGGCCTCCCTGGAGGGGTGGGAGGGGCACGACACCTGATAAATAACATGGTGTGCGAATACCCTGCCCGCTCTGGTGGGGCCTCCCTGGAGGGGCGGGAACGGCACGAAACCTAATAATAAAATATGGCGTGCGAATACCCTGCCCGCTCTGGCGGGGCCTCCCTGGAGTGGCGGGAGGGGCACGAAACCTGATAAATAATATGGTGTGCGAATGCCCTGCCCGCTCTGGTGGGGCCTCCCTGGAGGGGTGGGAGGGGCATGAAACCTGATAAATCATATGGTGTGCGAATACCCTGCCCGCTCTGGCGGGGCCTCCCTGGAATGTTGGGAGGGGCGCGAAACCTGATAAATAACATGGTGTGCGGATACCCTGCCCGCTCTGGTGGGGCCTCCCTGGAGGGGTGGAGGGGCACGAAACCTGATAAATAATATGGTGTGCGAATACCCTGCCCGCTCTGGTGGGGCCTCCCTGGAGGGGTGGGAGGGGCACGAAACCAGATAAATAACATGGTGTGCGAATACCCTGCTCGCTCAGGCGGGGCCTCCCTGGAGGGGTGGGAGGGGCACGAAACCTGATAAATAACATGGTGTGCGAATACCTTGCTTGCTCAGGCTGGGCCTCCCTGGAGGGGTGGGAGAGGCACGAAAACTTATAAATAACATGGTGTGCGAATACCCTGCTCGCTCAGGCGGGGCCTCCCTGGAGGGGTGGGATGGGCAGGATACCTGATAAATAACATGGTGTGCGAACACCCTTCCCGCTCTGGTGGGGCCTCCCTGGAGGGGTGGGAGGGGCACGAAACCTGATAAATAGCATGGTGTGCGAATACCCTGCTCGCTCAGGCGGGGCCTCCCTGGAGGGATGGGTGGGGCAGGAAACCTGATAAATATCATGGTGTGCGAATACCCTGCTCGCTCAGGCGGGGCCTCCCTGGAGGGGTGGGAGGGGCACGAAACCTGATAAATAACATGGTGTGCGAATACCCTGCTCGCTCAGGCGGGGCCTCCCTGGAGAGGTGGGAGGGGCACGAAACCTGATAAATAACATGGTGTGCGAATACCCTGCTCGCTCAGGCGGGGCCCCCCTGGAGGGGTGGGAGGGGCACGAAACCTGATAAATAACATGGTGTGCGAATACCCTGCTCGCTCAGGCGGGGCCTCCCTGGAGGGGTGGGAGGGGCACGAAACCTGATAAATAACATGGTGTGCGAATACCCTGCTCGCTCAGGCGGGGCCTCCCTGGAGGGGTGGGAGGGGCACGAAACCTGATAAATAACATGGTGTGCGAATACCCTGCTCGCTCAGGCGGGGCCTCCCTGGAGGGGTGGGAGGGGCACGAAACCTGATAAATAACATTGTGTGCGAATGCCCTGCTCGCTCAGGCGGGGCCTCCCTGGAGGGGTGGGAGGGGCACGAAACCTGATAAATAACATGGTGTGCGAATACCCTGCTCGCTCAGGCGGGGCCTCCCTGGAGAGGTGGGAGGATCACGAAACCTGATAAATAACATGGTGTGCGAATACCCTGCTCGCTCAGGCGGGCCCTCCCTGGAGGGGTGGGAGAGGCGCGAAACCTGTTAAATAACATGGTGTGCGAATACCCTGCTCGCTCAGGCGGGGCCTCCCTGGAGGGGTGGGAGGGGCACGAAACCTGATAAATAACATGGTGTGAGGAAAGGCATGGTATGGTATGGGATGGTGGATGCATGGTATGGTATGGTAAGGTATGGTATGGAATGGCATGGTATTGGAATGGTATGATACAGTATGGGATGGTGGAGGAAGCGGGAGGAGGGGGAGGAGGAGGAGAGGATGTTCTGGGAAAACAAGAACCCCACTCAGGATGTGGGGAAAAATCGTCACTATACGATTATGCTACTACTTTGGAAGATTCCTCCTGCAGAGGGGCAGGCCCGACTTACGCATAGGGTGACCAATGAGGCATCACTTGTCGGCATCAGCTCTGCAAGCTGCGTGCATCGATGCAGGTGGAAAAGAGAGGCCGCACGGCCCACGAAGGGAAGAAAGGAGGGGCTACGCGCGAGGACAGGAGGCGAGGCCGAGAGAGAGAGAGAGAGAGAGAGAGACAGAGAGGGACGGACGACGAGGGGGACGACAGGGGAAACGCGAAAGAGAAGACCCACAGCGGCGGTGGTTGTGGATAGATCCCAGCCTCGGACAGGGAGGGGCAGGGAATAAGACGAAGCCAGGACGAGGATAAGCCCAGGTGAGGACAAGTCGAGCATCTCTGAGATCGAGCAACTCTGGAGGATGTCTCGGGCGCCACGGCCTTCTCGGAGGGTTCGGGCGCGTTCTGGGAGCGTTCCGGAACGCTCTGAAAGGATTGATCCTTGGGACGCACAGAGACGGACTAGTACTATATATACATATATAGATCCTCCTTGGAGGCGCGCGTCCGACCCGAACATCTACTGTAGCCATCTTGTAGCATGTCGTTTCCCGAGCGGTGCGGCCAGAAAGCGCCCGCCACGACGAATGTACTATTAAAATTTCTCGGTGCTCGCGTCGCGGGGGCGACGCACATATAGTACAAGTCTGCTGGGGTGACGCGGAATCCTCGTCCTGGCCCCGTCCGAGGGACGGGAGGTGGGGGGAAGCCTTCGGCAGCCCGGGCGGCTGTCGGGGCACGGCGGCGGCCCGCCGGGCGACCTGCTCGGGCGCGCAAGAAGGAGGAGGAGGAGGAGGAGGAGGAGGAGGCGAAGCTCCTTCCGATTCTCCTCCCCCCCCTCATCCTCCGTCCTCACCTCCTCCTACTGTTCCTCCTACTTTTCCTCCTCCTCCTCCTCCTCCGCCTCCTCCTCCACCCTCCTCCTCCTCTTCTTATTATTATATTCTTAGTGTTATGGATATGAGTATTCTTACGTCTCTCCTTATTATCATGTGTAGTATTCGTATTATCAGACGGATATTAGTATTATTAGTGTTGATATGATTCGTCTTCTTCTCAGTACGATTATTATGGTTCGTAAGGGCATTCTTTCTCTTATAGGTATGAGTATTAATATTAATAGTGTTGGTAATATTATTTGTCTTGTGCGTCGTGTTAATGTTATCATTATTGTGTTTCGTCGTCTTATTACCATTATTATCATTCGTACTATTATGTTGATGTATGTGTATCACTATTCGTGATATTATCCTTCGTAGTATTACAGTTCTTCTTATGGTCATGATTAGTATTATTCGTCACGGTATGACTACGACTATTCTTCTTAGTATTATTAGTAGTCGTAGTATACGTCTTAATCGTCTTCGGATTAGTATTCGTATGCGTCCCCGCTTCCTTATAAGTAAGATTCTTCGACTCCGTAGCACTGTTCTTCTTATGATGCGTATTAGTGGTAGCCCTCTCCGTCGCATCATGATTGTTATGTTTGAAGTTTGTAGTATAATAGTATCCGTCGTAAAATAGTCGGATGTGTCGTATTGCTGATCTGAGTCAGATGCGTGTTGTGCTTATTATTATGCTTAGTATTATGGTTAGTAGTGTTCATTCATGTTCGTAGTATTGTTAGTCTTCTTTGCTTCGCAGTAGTAGTAGTAGTAGTAGTAGTAGTAGTAGTAGTAGTAGTAGCAGTAGTAGTAGTAGTAGTAGCAATGCGCTGCTGCTTCGTCTTCCCATCCTTCAGATTAGTTGTGTGCGTCTTCCTCTGGTTCAGATTCTCCTTGTGCACGACGATTGATGGCATTAATAGTATTACTCGTCTTCTTCTTTTTCCCAACATTAATATTAGTATGTCTCGTATTCCGCCTCCTCCTCCTCCTCCTCCTCCTCCTCCTCCTCCTCCTCTTTCTCCTGCTCCTCCTGCCTCCCTCCCTCCCTCCCTCGCTACCTCCTCCCTCGCTCCCTCCCTCCCTCCCCTCCGTCCCCTCCTCCTCCTCCTCCTCCTCCTGCTCCTCATCCCTCCTCCCTCCTCCCTCCTCCCGCCTCCCTCCTCCCACCTCCCACCCACCTCCTCCTCCTCCTCCTCCTCCTCCTCCTCCTCCTCCTCCTCTCCTCCTCCTCTTCCTCCTCGTGTTCTCCTCCTCTTCCTGTTTCTCCTCCTCCTCCTCCTCTTCCTCCTCCTCCTCCTCCTCCTCCTCCTCCCCCTCCCCTCCCCCCCCCTCCCCTCCTCCTCCTCCTCCTCCTCCTCCTCCTCCTCCTCCTCCTCCTCCGCCTCCTCCTTCTCCTCCTCCTCCTTTAACATAATCATCATCATCATCATCATCATCATCATCATCATCATTCATCATCATCATCATCATCATCATCATCATCATCATCTCATCATCATCATCATCATCATCATCATATCATCATCATCATCATCATCATCATCATCATCATCATCATCATCATCATCATCATCATCATCATCATCATCATCATCATCATCATCATCATCAGCATCATCATCAGCATCATCATCATCATCATCCTCATCCTCATCATCATCATCATCATCATCATCATCATCATCGTCATTATCATCATCATCATCATCAGCAGCAGCATCATCATCATCATCATCATCATCATCATCAGCAGTATCAGCATCAGCATCAGCATCATCATCATCAGTAGCAGCAGCAGCAGCAGCATCATCATCATCAGCATCAGCATCATCATCAGCAGCAGCATCATCATCACCATCATCATCAACGGCATCATCATCATCATCATCATCATCATCATCATCATCATCATCATCGTCCTCCTCCTCCTCCTCCTCGAAGGTAGCCATCTTAGCTCAAGGCTGCCATGTGGGCTCCCACGCGCGCGGGGGCGCGCGGCGGGCGCATCCATCTGGCCCCAGCCTGTGGCCCGACGGCGGGCGCAGACGATCTCGCAGCAGCGGGCGGCCTCGGGAGGCGCGACCCGTCGCCTGCCTGACATCGCCGCCTGGGCATGCGCCGCGCCAATGCGCGGCACACGCTCCGCGAGGCTGCCGTCAGGCGGCTCTTGCGGTCGCACCACGGCAGCGCCTCCCCAGACGGCCCTGAGGCTATGCCGCCAAGGGAAGGAGAGGCATGGCCGTGCAAGGCGACCAGGCAGCGCGGGTTCCCCAACAAGTACGCTGCGTGGAGCAGATGCCGGGCGCGCGGCCGAGACAGAGACGGCAAGCCGTCGGCCGCCCCCGAGCGCACGCCCAGCGCAGCAGCACGCAGACGCCAGCCCTCAAGGAGCCAGGAGGCGCCCTGGCGCGATCATGCTGACCATGCTGCCGATGCTCCTCCGGCTGCTCATGGTGCGTCACCACAGCAGTCAGCCGCTGCCAAGTGCAGGCGGGTCTGGTTGGCCTGAAGGCGGATCTACGGCGACGAGCACGACCTGGCCATCGCCGCCAAGGCCGACCTCGACAAGGCGGAGCACGCCCTCCGTGCTCAGATGGACCCCTTCGGACCTGTTGCGGAGTGCGGGAGATCGGTGGACGGCAAAGAAGACGGAGAGAGCAGACAAAGCCGCCCAGGTCGACAAGCTAGAGAAGAAGCTCATGGACGCCAAGGAACAGCTCACCAAGCTCGAGGGAGATGTCGCGGGTCTCAGCGCTGGGGTCGCCCAGGCCCAGGCAGCGGCTGCGGCAAGCGCAGCGAATGGGGCGGCCCCTGGGTTGGCAAACGTTTCAAAAGCAGCTCGAGCAGGCACAGAAAACCTCGACGGCGCCCAGCTCCTGTCCACCATCGAGCAACAGTCCACAAACATCGGGACCGTGGCTACTTCGGGCAAAGCCCCGCCTACGACAACATCGAGGCCGCCTGCACCGACCATCGGACAGCCAGCCGCTTTTCGTGCCTCAGCAGAGTTGCGCGACAGCATGCCAGTCGATCAGGCAGCCTGGGAGCACGCGGGCGTCGAACAGGACTAGAGCACCGAGAGGATCCAAGCGTAAAGATATTGCAGTCGCTATCTTCAACGGTTCATGCTGGGAGTCGTGCAGCAAATGTTTGATGGAAGGTACGGAAGGGGTCAATATCGCATGTGCGCAAGAGTTGAGACTCGATGACGAGCGCCTCTCGCAGGCGCAGTCCTGGGCCCATCGCAATGAATGGCAAGCCTTTACCACATTATGTCGCAGGCTACCGACAGGCATGCCGAGCGCGGGAGCAGGGGTCCTTGTACGCTCTCACATTCCTGCCACTGTTGTCGAAGGACCCGATGGCAGATCATCTCATGAAGTCACGCCAACCTGCCTGGGCAGTTGCCATACACGTGGATGTCGGACTCACTGGGGGGCTGGTGGTGGGATCAGCTTACATGGAGTGTGAGCGCAGCGCATCATGCCTCTCTGTCAACTACAGGCGTTACCTCACGCTTGCCAAGTTCCTCAGGTACATGGATAAGCCTTACACCATAGCGGGGGATTGGGACATCTAACCCCAGGGCTATCAGTTGTTGGGCTTACCTGAGATACTCCCTGGCGCCCTGCTCTATATACCAGAGAAGAGGGCACCTGTCGCACGTCGAAGGGCAACTAAAGAAACATCGACTACTACATAGCGTCGCCAGGTATTGACACTGTCTGCAGTACATCTACCACATTGCCTACTTGGCCAGCGCGACCTCACAAGTCTGTCATCACATACATCAAGGCTGAGCCGGCGACCACGCAAATCCTCTCCATCACGGCACCGAAATGATTCCCCAAGGGGCCCCCTGCCACGGAGGGCTGCAATCCCCTCCAGGGGCCGATGGATAGATCCGCCAGCCTACTTACGCAGGACGAAAGATTTTCCTCTTGACGTCGAAGAGGACCACCCCCGTCCCCGGTAGAATCTTAACACGGGGGGGCCTGCGGTCGATGGATTCCATTCTTGTCGGTTCCGGGAACGAATTTAATCTTATAAATTCAAAACGTGGTAGACATTGGATCCGCCGTAGAAAATGGGTTCCGACGAGGATCCCGAAAATCAGAAATGGATCCGCGCGCACGGAAATGGGATCCGCCGCAACTTGACGATTACGGTAAGGTAGGAAATCGGATCCGTGCGACCCTCAGTGGGTTCGCCGCTATGATTTCCCAGAGGGCCCGTGCACCGCGTGGGACCGCGAGGTTCAGCGCCAAGAGGAAAAAACTTTCGGCCTGGGGAAGTACCTGGAGATTGCCGATAGGGATGCTCAGAGAGGACCTCCGACGACCAAGGAGGAAGCTGCAGGGCGCATGGATGCCCTATATAGTCAGTTCATCAAGCACGTCGAAAGCGAGATGATGGACATCTATCAGGTTGACGAGCCCGATGCACACCGCGGACGTGCAGATGGGGCAACGTACACACGGAGGCCGATAGGGGGCCCCAAGGCGGGACCTCACCCTGTCGGGGGCAGTGAGCCTCGCTACCTTCGCGCAGTGGGTCAAGCGGTTCTTGACATGGTCGCGGATTTCCTCGACGAGTACGGCGTGACATCCCTGCAGCAGCTGGTTGACGACGCGAAGAGCACAGTGAAAGGGATCGCTGGCAAGGTCGTCGAGCAGGATCATCTTCCATCGAGCTCTACACCTGCAACATCGGCGGGGAGCACGAACAGGTCGACGGGCACACTCACTGCCCCTGAGAAGGTCCCCCTCCCACAGGCGCGTCACCTGGGAGAATCGGGCAGGAGATCCCCTTCTCCGCCCTCGCAGCCACAGGGAGGACCCCGTGACAGGGCCGAGCTGGAGGGGCAGCAGAGGTGGCAACAGGCAGAAGCTGATTCACGATTGCGTAGGGTACCTGGTCACGACGCAGCTGAGGATCTGTCTAGAACGCATGCCCCTGCCCCTCGACGCCAGGGCAGGGATCGGTCGCCCCACGTTTTGCTGCGCGGGAGCCAGCCTGAAGCATCTCAAGGCAGAGAGCCAGGCGAATCCAGAACGCAAGTCCCTGCCCCTCTACGTTGGGGCAGGGCTCAGTCGCCGAACGCTTTGCCGTTGACGCCCCAGCCTGAAGCACCTCAAGAGAGAGAGCCAGGACGTCTGCGACACAGTGCGGGCGACAGCATCGATGAGGTTGTCGGGTTGCCCGTGGGCCCCCCGAGTGCCGCGAGCCCTTGCACGAGGGTTGCCGACGGCGCAAGGGGCGGGCAGCGTGCCGCGACTGGAGGGGCAGCGCGGGCGGGCCTCGACATCCTCGAGGGGCGGCGCGTTGGACAGGGCAGGGCGGGGCTCGACATCCTCGAGGGGCGGTAGCTCTGCGAGCACCCCAGGGCCCCGCCCCCGAGCCAGGGGCATCCGCGCGACCGCTCCAGGTGGCGGGGCAGCAGGCACCGACGGCGACAGGGGCTCGGTGATTGGCAAGGGCGACGGCACCCACAGTGGCACAGATCAGGAGATCAAGGAAGCTGCCGATCCAGGGGTACGTGGTGCACCTTGTCACGATGGAGACGCAGGTGCGGGATAACGCGATGGCGAGAGGAGAGCAGGTGGAATTTCGCTACACGGGCACCCATCACCAAGACGAAGGGCGCGATGGACACATCTGGCCAAACTGCTACGTCCAGGACACAGGAAGGACGTCCATACCTCCACGGGCAAGGTATGATTCGAGGGCACCTGGGACATAATACACTTCGCCTGCAAGCAGCATCCGATATGGCGCATCGTGTGCCTGCAGGCCTTTGCTGACGCTCTGCTTGCCCACGTTGACACGTTGGACAGAAAGCTGGATTGCTTCAAGTCACAAGTTCAAGGCATGGGCGAGAGATGCAATGGTCACAGGCCCAGCGCAGGTACACTCGATCACAAGGATCCAGCCATGGGCTCACGCACAGATCAAAGCTGGACAAGCCGCCACATCGCACCCGCAGACTACTGCAGCTAAACCAAGTGGACAGCTGGCGCGACATCTGGGAAGGGGTGCGACTGCCTGCGAATGCCCTACCACCACCCCTGGCAGAACATGAAAATGCAGGGGCAGGGCTTGTGCGTGCCACCGGTCACCTTCCTCCAGCGGTGCTACCAGTGCCTACACTGGCACAAGTACGATGGGCTGCTACAAAGCTCAAGTGGCGCACTGGACTGGGAGGCGGTGCTCCGCGCACCCCCAGCACGGTCCCGGCGAGGCACATCTGCTGGCAAGCCTCCCGGGGTGAGAACACCGTCAGGAACCAGGAGAAACTCCCGAAAACCTCCGACGCGGGGATGGCGGTGTCGTTTTTCGTCCGCTGCGTTCCGACGTTCGTCCGCTGATTTGCTTCGGGGTCCTAACACCGTGTGGTAACGGACTGCGTGGTGACCTCGGGATCCCCCACGGCCTCGCCGCGCGGTCCGTCACCGCACGGTTTTGGGACCTCGGAGGCCCCAGTTACCCGAGGCGTCCTCGTAGGACGACCCGAGTCCCAAACAATGCGGTGACCACGAAATCCCCACTGGCTCACCACTCGACGCCTGGTGGTTTGCGGGTCATAACTCGAGCCTCAGGCGTCCGTTCGGGACGATCCCGGCACCCTCGGAACGCCCTCGGCGTGGCCCAGCTGCTGGAACGCACCCCGAGGCGAGAAAACCGCCAAGATCCAGGGAAAACTGCGGAACACCAGGAAAAACCTCTGGCGCCGTCGCGTGTTCACCACACCGCTCGGGGGCCCCCCGAGCTCTGGCGGCGGGCGCGCGGCCTCGTCCGCTGGAGGGCGGCCCTCGCCGGAGGGCGCCGCCGACGGCTCGGCCGCCGCGCCGGCGGGGCGCAGCGCGTCGCTCAGCGCCTCGGCGGAGTGGCCCGCCGGCGCGCCGGCCGCGGCGGCCCCGGCGGGCGGCGCGTGCACGTCCTTCGGCGGCGAGGGGGGGGAATGCACTCTGGGAATCTTCATGAGCGTGGGGGAAGGGGTACCCCCCCCCCGACGGGGGTCAACCTCGCCGCGTCGTCGCGCCGCGACAGGGGTCGGAGCGCCTTCGGCGCGCGGTGGCTGCCCGCGACGGGGTCGATGATGGGGTTGTCGGCGAGGGTGACGCCCCCCCGACGCTCAGTAAGAGACTCGGAGTATCCAGATCCACCGCCTGTGGAACCGACGTCCTGGGACCCCAGAGGGCGGAGGATAGAGACATATCCAGCCTCCCCAGGGCCCGAAGACGTCTGTATCCACCGCCTGTGGAGCCGACGTCCTGGGACCCCAGCGGGCTGTGGACATAAACATACAGTCAACCCGTAGAATAAGGACGCACGACAAGGATGCAAAGGCCTTGAAGGCCATATCGACACTCTGCGGGCGGGGCGCTGCCAGCGGAACCGGCCAAGGATGGGCCGAAGGGGAAGGATACAAGGGTAACCTTGGAATGTCGCTCATCCTTACGATGCGGGTCGACCGTCTTTGGCCTCCCCAGGGCCCGAATACATCCAGACCCGCCGCCCGCCGACGTCCCCGAAGGTCGGCCCTCCAGGCGGTGGTCATGGATGAATCCCCGCCTCGGACTGGCGGCAGGATCCGTCAGTCAGCATCGATCGGCGGCGCGCCTTGGGGGGGGAAGCTTCTCCCGCCTGCCCGGAGGCCTGGGAGTCGGCTGGCTCCCCCAGAGCGTGCTCGACAGAGATCTGCGGGGCCCGCCCGCTCGAGAACGCCGCACAAAACTGCCGCAGAACAGGAAGCTGCGGGCACGAAGAGGACGTGGCGGCGTGGAGTCTGGCCTTCTGAGACGTTTGCTGGGCCTGCCCCGAAGGCACAGAAGACTTCTCAGAAGGCGCAGGGGCTTCTGAGAAGCCCCCACGCCTTCTGAGAAGGCTTGCTCCTTCTCACGTCCTACCGGGCACGCCGCCGAGACCTGGGGCAGGACCCGTCAGCATCGAATCGGGAAATCGGATCGGATCCGGCCGTGCGTCGGATCGGGCTGCACTGGCACGGAATCGGAATCGAATCGGATCGGCTGCGCCAGGATGTACAACGACGCTGTGCAAGAGCAGGGCCGCATCGGATCGCCAGGAAATCGAAATCGGATCAGATCGGGCCGGGAGAAGTCGGCATCGAATCGGATCGAAATGGACCCTGCTGGCGGGGGGGCGCACTTCCCCAACCCCAAACATCCGACGGCACCATCCTCTTTGTCGGGAGTTCCTCCTGGCCCTTGACGGTCTGCTCGCCTCGGGACGCTTGCCAGCAGCTGCGCCTCGCCGAGAACGTTCCTGGGGTTCGCGGATGGCCCCGAGCGGCCAACGGAGGCCCGAGGTAACCCGCAAACCACCGATACCAAGGCCGCGACGATACGTCTTGTTGACTCTGGGCGCTGTTCCATGTGTATCGGCCTCTGGGGCCAGGGTGCCCCCACAGGAGCGATCGGGAGCTGCGGGGCCGAGTTTCGAAACATAATCAGACCGCGGGTTCTTTATGTTTCGCGGTAACGCCCGTGACTGGCCACGCCCCCCTCCCCCCCTGGTCGCGTCACGATTCACGCTGGCGCCGTCTGGAGACTAGCCGTTCCTGGGCATTGCCTGACCATACCGGCGCGAGTCGTGACGACCGGCCCCCTCCCCTCCCCCCACCCACCCCAGGCACGCCCGTAATCGCCAGATTTGGTGGCAACTCACGCCTCCCATGCCATCCTGCTGGCTCTTGCGCATCGACACGATCCGACGCGATCCGACGCGAATCGACGCTAGCCGACGCGAAGTCGGCGCTAATTCGGCGATTTCTCATCGGCCGCCAGACGCTAGCGCACGCCAGTTCATCAAGATGGCGGAATTCTGGGACATAGCTCCCACGACCTGCTGCCGAGCCTGCCCCCCCCCACAAAATCCTGGTCATGCCCAAGATCGTCAGGGGGTAAAATTACCCCTGCGACATACCCAACCCATCTGCGTTAAATGACAAGAAGAGCTGGTCCATAATAGTATGGCTGCTGACAACGCAGGATCTGCCACTGTTTGTGCAAGCTATATGGGAAGCGCGCGCGCTCTGCACGACTCACAGAACAGCAACAGAATGACGAGGACTGATGCTCCAGGTTCGAAGAGGAAATGGAGGTGGGAACGACGGGCAAGAAAAGAACGGCATCGGAGCCGACAAGTTCACGCGGCAGCAGCAGTGAGACGGTGAAGGAGGAAAAGGACGACGGCGAAAGAGGCAGGATGAAGAGGGAGGGTGGCGATCATATCTTACTGGAGCGCTGAACAGGCAGCGCGGCCCGCGCCGTGTCGCCCTGGCGTTCCAAGGGACCGGCTGCGCATAGCGAGTGCAAGAAACGAGCGGGGCCGAACTCGCCCGCCGGGTTCTCAAATCCCACCAGCCCTCTGGGCGACAGGTGGTCTGACGAGGGTCTCTCCTCTTCCACGACCCCTCTTCCCTTCGGGGAGGGCAACCCTCCCCCTCCCCTCCCTGGGTTTTTGGGGGAGGGGGCCCGATGTGTCAGAGGCTCTTTTTTCGGCCCCTGGGAGGGTCACTTTTTGACACCCCTCACGGGGATCGTGGCCCTCGAGGGGGGGCGCTACATTTAGGACCCCCCTCGTTTGACCGACCGCCTCCAAGATTGCCCCCAGAGGCCCCCACAGGGCTCCCAAGAGGCTCCCAAGAGGGCTCCAAGAGCGCCCCAAGAGGCCCCGAGAGGCCTCCAAAAGGCACCCGAGCGGCACCCAGGAGGCCCCCGAGCGGCCTCAGAGAGCCCGAGATGACCCCCAAGATGGTTCAAGATAGCCCAAGCTCTCTCCCCGTCACTTATCATGGGCATTGTTTCTGGATGGGCTGATGGGGATACACGAAGCGTAAGAATTCCTTCCTGCACGGTCCAACGCAGGAGCTAAACGCCCGCAGGCGCGCCGCCAATTTTCCAGGCGGCCCGTGGGAAAGGAAATCAAGGCTGCGACGTCGCTATGCTGGCCCCGCAACCCTAGAAAGTGGCGACAGTTCCGCAGTTCGCAGCCACCCAGGAATCGCGAGGTCGAATCTGAATATGCGTAGCGCGTCACTCACCTGGACCCCCAGCAAACTCCGAAAGTGGCGACAGCTTCCCAGTTCGCAGCCACCCAGGGATGGCGAAGTCTAATCTGAATCTGGGTAGGGCCCCACTAGTGCTGGGCCCCCAAGCAACCCGCGAAAGAGGCGACAGTTTCGCAGTTCGCAGCCACCCGGGGACGGCGAGGCCTAATCTGAGAATGGGTCGGGCCCCCACTATGCTGTGACCCCCGGCAACCATCGAAAGTGGCGACAATCTGGCAAATCGCAGCCCCCCAGAGGTGGCGAGGTCTAATCTGAATCTGGGTAGGGCCCTCACTATGCTGCCCCCCCAGCAGCCCTCAAAAGGGCGACTGTTCAAGGATCACAAACCCCCATGGGCGGCAAGGTCGAATCTAAGTCTGGGTCTGACCCCACTGTGCTGGCCCCGCCCACAACAGCCCTCGAAAGTGGCGACAGTTTCGCAGTTCGCAGCCCGCCAGGGGTGGCGAGGTTTATCCGAATATGGGTAGGGCCCCACTGTTCTGGAGGGTGCGCCGCTGGATCTCCCCAAGGGGGGCGGGGTTGGGACACCCCCCCTTCCTCGATCCGTCGTCGGGGAACCCCCCCCGCTCCCCCCCTTCCCCGATCCGTCGTCGGAGACCCCCCCCTTTCCTGGTCCGTCGTCGGGAACCCCCCCCTCCCCCCCTTTCAAAAGGGGAAGGGGGTCCGACCCCCCCCCCTCCCCCCCTTTGGCCGCACCCCCCCCCTTCCCCCCCTTTCGCCACGCCGCCACCTGACTCCCGACCCCGACCCCCGCCACCCCTACCCATAACCCTCACCCTAACACAAACCCCTAACCCGAACCCCAACCACTGACCCGAGCCCCAAAGAGCACTCACTACTCATTACTCACTACCCACTACTGACTACTCGCTATTCGCTACTCACTTCTCACTACCCCCTACTCACTACTCACGACCCACTACTCACTATCCACTACTCACTACCCAAAACCCACTACTCGCTACTCACTACTCCCTAGTCACCACTCCCTCCTCCCTACTCACAACTCACTAGTCACTCCTCACTACCCACTACTCAATACTCACTATTCACTAAGCACGACCCACTGCTCCCTACTCACTACTCACTAATTACTACTCGTTACCCACTACCCACCATCCACTACTCACTACTCACCACTCATTGTCCACAGATCACTACTCACTACCAACTACTCGCTACTCCCTACTCCCTACTCCCTAGGCAATACTGACTACACAGTACTCAGTACCCACTACTCGCTACTCCAATACTCGCTACTCAATACTCACTACTCACTACCCGCTACTCACTACTCAATACTCACTACTCACTACCCCCTATTCACTAGTCACTACATAGTCTCTAGTCACTAGTCACAAGTCACTAGTCACTAATCACTAGTCTCTAATCACTACTCACTACCCACTCACTGCTCACTACTCACTACTCACTACTCACTACTCACTACTCGCAACTCCCTGGTCGCTAGTCACTAATAACTACCCCCTACTCACTACTGACTACTCTCTACTCACTACTCACTACTTACTACGCCCTACTCGCTCCTCACTACTCACTACTCGCTACTCTCTACTCGCTAACCCACTACACACTACCCACTGCCACTACCCACTACTCTCTATACATCACTACTCACTACTCACTACTCACTACGCACTACGTACTACTGAGTACTCACTACTCAAAACTCACTACTCACTACTCGCTACTCACTACTCACTACTCACTACCCACTACTCACTACTCACTACTCACTACTCACTACTCACTACCCACTACGCACTACGCACTACCCGAAACTCGCTACTCACGAATCACTACTCGCCACCCACTACTCACTACCC